ATTTTAGGGTTTTTGAAAAAGTGGTTTTCTAGAAAACCGGGTCTTCGAACGGCTATAGGGAAGTCCCATGGCCGTATTCGTAACCAGCATGGTCGGTAACCTATAACCCACTAGATCCTGAGCAAAAAGCGTTTAATCACTTTGAGGGGTTTCCTCGTCAGAAAGCTGAAACCAATGACACACAACTATTCGTTTCACAATTAAACTCAACGGCTACTGATGGACATTCTACAAGTAATGAGGATGATAAGAGAGCTAAATCGTCTTTAGCAAAGCATGAAAGTGTAACAGGACGCAAAATCGATTGGAGAAATTTTGAAGTTATTGATCAAGGTAATCATTCGTACTATTTACTCATAAAAGCTTAATGATTAAGAATTTAGAACTTAAATTAAATTACGGCATCATCCAGAAATCGCCGTCCTCGCGGATTCTTATATGTTAAAGTGTAAAGTGCATAATTGAGGGGGGAGCAGTTCTTGACCCACTTCACTCTCACTTCTCTGCCCTCGCCCTCACTCGCCGCGAGTTCGTATATGTTAAAGTGTTAACACTTTAACACCGAATCCGTGGCGCCGGCGATTTCCGGATGTTATGTAAAAATAAGTAAATGTGATGGTGAAGATGAGATGGATCATACACACATATATACAATGTCAATCCTTTTCTCTTTTTCCTTTCTTATTCTTTAGCTTATTCTACTATTCATTTCAGTGAACAGTGCACCCGGTTGTAAGTTGAATAACTCCAGAACGAAATCAGCTGGAGACTTGCGGTTTTCAGCATTCGAAAGAGGGTTATAGTTTTTATATGAAAATATCAAATCTGATTGGTCAAAATTGACCAATCTTTTTTAAAATCTTTTTTCATTTTTGTCACTAAACTATCATACTGCTCTGTGGAGCATGGCATGTACATCGTGAAAAAATGAAAGCCATCAAATAAAGATTAAAGACATGTCACTCGACGCAGTTTTGTATGCTGATTCCGAATATACACTTTGTTCAGCGATTTGAATTCGATGAAGGGTCAAAAAACCCCGAAAATCAGTGAAAATGCCGTTTTGGGCTCTCAGGACAATGCGTATAACTCCTGAACGAAAAACGCTAGTGGGCTCGGTCTTACGCAGATCGAAAGAGAGCAATTTTAGCTGTCGAATGGTTATGTCAAAACCCTAAATCCAATGGTAAATGCCTTCGAAATATTGTTTTTACAATGTTCATCAAGAATTCTTCTAACGAGTCAAATCAGATTTGACATTTCCATATAAGAAATATGACTCTCTTTCCAATGCTGAAAACCGCAAGTCTCCAGCTGGTTTCGTTCTGGAGTTATTCAACTTACAACCGAGTGCACTGTTCATTGAAATGGATAGTAGTTCTCGAACAGGTTAGAAAAGAAAAATATAGTAAGAAAACAATAGAAAGTACAAAAACTGTGCAACATGTATAGATATAATTTATCTCACTCCGTTTAGACCTTGTATTTTTATAAACATATAAAATATATATATAAAAATTTATATAATAATAATGATGATAATGATAATAATAATAATAATGTATATAATTTTTAAATAAATCGAAACGAGCAAATTTAAAAACAAAATAAAACGATCCATACCGCTGCTGTTGTTATGCTTTTTCTATTGAAAATTCTACGTATTAGAAATAATAAAGCATTACTATTTACCAGGGGACCTTTCCAGGTATCCGATCGCTTTTCTAATGAAATGCGGTAGTTTATAGTTAATCGATCATGCTAATTCCGAATATGCGAGCCATTTCTGCCCATAGACCTTTTCTAACCGGTTTCTGGAAAACTGGTTTTCCACAAACCACGAAAAATCCCTAAGAGCTTTTTTAAATAAGTCACAACTATAGCCCGCGAAATTCTGATTAAAATCACGCATGCTCTACATGACCATTCTTTGCAAAGTTATAGAATTTACAAAACAGGCCTAAATGTTCATTGTCAACTCATCGTCAGAGATATAAAAAGAAGAACGAAAGATCAATTTAGGGCTTTTCTTGTAAATTCAATAACTTTGCAAAGAAAGGTCATGTAGAGCTGGTACATGTCTCATTTTAATCAGAATTTCGCGGGATACAGTTGCGACTTATTTACAAAAACTCTTGGGGATTTTTCGAGGTTGGTAGAAAACCAGTTTTCCAGGAACCGGTTAGAAAAGGCCTATGGGCAGAAATGGCTCGCATATTCAGAATTAGCATGGTCGATTAACTATAACCTACCGCATTTCGTTAGAAAAGCGGATACCTGGAAAGGTTCCCGCGTGAGATCTTTCATTACATTTTATTTTCAGATCTAATGGGTGATGTTAAAAGATTTTCCGTTGATCAAATAACTCTTATTAATGATGGGATTTTTAAACAACGTGCCGATTGTATAGTTTTGTATACTGATGGAGTGGAATTTAAAAAACTTATGCATGAAATATCTGACAATGATCAGTTAAAATGTCAAATATTGACTGCTTGCGATCAGATAGCAAATGATCAGCAGCAACAGCATCATATTCAATATCAAATTATTCATGCGTCAAGCAAGTTGAAAGTTAAAGCTGACCATCTTTTTGTAGTTAGTCAACCGGATAGTAATTCGTTAGAGCATCAATGGTTTAATACAATTATTGATATTGCCAATAAAGAACAAATGTATTCAATACTATTTCCATATCGTTTATACACAAAGAAAGACATATGGTGTTCACTTGATATTATTCTTCAATTAAAAAAGGAAAATAAATTGCAAAATGTTCCAGAAATACGAATTATCTACGCAGATGAGACAAATTTTGCAAAAGAAAAAATAAAATTAGAAAAATTTCAATCTGATTCGAAAAAACAATTGAAAAACAATGGTAAGAATATCAGATTCCGTATAACCTCCTTCAGCTCTACAACGATTAGTTGAAAATATCCAGACGATTCTTGTAAAAATGTAGCATCTACAATACATTAAATGGACGATCCGGTAGAAGCTCTACTATCCATCACTACGTAATTGTTAAACGTTTCCTTATTTCCATTGCAGCTCGGAGAGTAGATGAAAATGCGGAATATACCACACATGTAGAACAAAGACGTAATGTATCTGACCAGAATAGAGGAAGACAGGGAAATAATAGCCCGTCACGTCGGCATGGCGAAAGTTCGTCATCTGTACCTTCTAACGTCAATACTTGTTTTAACGAAGAAACGAAATTAAAGAAAACAAGAATAAAAAAGTCTCTCCACCTCATCCGAAGGGGTAAATAGTTCTCCTTCAAATAAACAATCCCGGGTTCTGTACCTTGAAGTATAGTGAAATAGAATTGACACGGGCAGAGGGCCCATTTTGAGCCTTGGTCTAGACAGACAGTCAGTCAGTTAGTCACTCACTCAAATAGATAGTCACTCATACAGATTGCCATACCATACAGGCAGACAGACAGACAGTCAGTCAGTCAAAGATATAGTCACTCATACGGATACACTTCCCATACAGACAGACACGTGGATACTAACTCGCGGCGACTTCTCATTCATACCACTTTTTTTACTAAAAACGAGAAGTCGCAACGATGTGGACTTTCTCATGCTATGGGGAACTAAGGGGAGCTAATCTGATTAATAATACTGTTGTCGACATGTTTTTTTGTTTCATCAAAAAGACCTTTAAGTGACATTTAATTTTCGATGAACGTGGAAGTTCATCTTGTTGCATGGGGGAGGTGTTATGTCACGTGCTAGAGTCGTGCCATAAGGGAGAAGATCATAGTGAAGGTTATTGTGCAAAAATATATTCAAGATTATTGCGCAGACTCTGGTCAAGGTTATTGCACAGAGTCTACTCAAGGTTGTCGCGCAATATTTCTTGTATAAATAGATCAATTTTATTGTTAAGAGGATATCTTTTTTATTTGTAAATAAACATTAGGTGAGAAAGATCTTAGTTCGCTCGGGAACCTAACAACGTTTGACGATAGATTTATATGTACTCCATTTTTCAAGTTCTTGTAGTTCAAAACAGTGGCGGCGTAAAGAAGTTGGATCAAGGGGACTGTAGTTTGAAAAATCGGAGTAAGTCCAAAAACGTTTTCTAGCAAGTTTGATAAGATTAAATAAATGGTGCAAAACTCATCATTTTTTCATTCGGACTTACTGTTGTATAATCAGTTACCATCACACTTAGACACAAGAAGGAAACTGCATTTTTTGTTGTTCCTTCAAATAGTGTATTCAAAAACGAAAAAATACAAAACAAAATACTAAATTCTAAGACCGTTGCTTTTGGAATTTTTGATCAGTATCAATACTCCAATTCCATAATGAGCCCTATGGACAAATCTCATAATTATATACAACGAGTACATAAAGTCCGCCAGCTAATGATTCTAGTCCGGACTTGGACTTACTCATCTCTGGGAAGGACGTGTTTTACCTTGCGCGAGCTTTCTCTGATTCTGCGGCATTTTTAAAGCAACGACAGCCGGAAACTCGAGAAGGCGACAAATATCTGCGCAAAAACTGTGAAAGTTTGCTGAAGCCAGAATAAACTCACTTCATGTTTTCACAAAATTGCAATAACTTTCCAGTATTTTTGACTCAAATCACAGCAAGTTTCTGCCAAAACTTTTGAAAGCAGAAGGGGCGTACGCTCGCCTCGCACAAACGGTCGCTTCAAAAACTTCTTTTCTCAAGTATGCTGTTCAAAAGAGTGAATAAAACTGGTTCAAACTACATATTTTTTAGCTTTGAAAAAACTTTGGAGACTTTTTGTCGAACGGAAAATGGTTTAGATTGGCTTTATCAAAAGTTTTTGCATAGGGTTTGGACTATAATGCCGTAGTAGCCAGTCCACAAGTGCTTCTCTTTCGTGGGTCTAACGGGTGCAATGATGGTGCTGAAACACATGGTATCCAAAAAAGTAGATGTTTGCTTCTTTTACCACTAAGATGAAAATTTGGTGGCTAAAATGGTTTTATTTGCTCTGTACTCTTGAAATATGAGCGCAAATAAAGCTGGTGTGTTTTATTAAACAAGAAAAAGAATGGAGAAAGAAAGAACCACTGGAATTGTTTTATGCTTTATTCAGAGACAAAAATGTTTTAATACTATAGACAATTTCAATCACCATGAAGAAACAGTTGATCTCCCCTTACCGATAAAACGGCATGTTAGTGTCCCTCGAATGGGCCTACGTTTCCATGATGGTCAGCCGATGCAGCTGGTGTGAGTTCGAACTGTAGTCTTTTTAATTTATTTGAGAAGCATAATAAGTCTAGATCACGTCTTACTCAAAAACTCCCTTGCACTTGGTAAATTAGGGATACTTGTTGCTTTCATCACCGCTCGTATAACGGCACGCTCTACGACCGTTGCGGCTAATGTACCAACTAACATTAAATCAGCTTTCATTGTCGATTTTCCAGTACTTATAGTAAACATCGCATCACCGTCAGCCGGTGTATGTACAGGATTTATTGTTCTGGCTAAACCATCATGTGCCATCTGTGCTATTTTTGTTGCTTGAACTTTGGTCAGTTTAACGTCAGTCGCAACACATCCAATTGTTGTTGATATACCTTCGTCTTGACGAATGTCGAATATATCTGAAAGCGATAATTTATTTTCTACTAGTTGCTTGACAGTGTTCATTAGAGAAAGACCATCAGGAGTTCGGGCTCCAGCTAATAGTTGATTATTACTTGAGTTAAACACATCACCGCGAGCATTTAGAACCTATTCTGCTATTACGCAGTTCGCTTTCTTCATAATGCGCGACAATTTTACGGCTGACCGTCAGCAAAACTCTTGATACTTTTCCACCGCTCACCGTCCCCCATTTCTTTTGCTCTGACGTAATAACTTTTAACTTTACTTGGACAATTTCAGAATATATCCGGTAAAAACTTGACGTGGTATTTGAACCGCCTTTTACAGCTACGATTACACCAACTGTTATTGATGAATTTGTCTTTTCATCACGTAGAGTAATCGACGCTGTACCTAGACCTGATTTCATTGCGCGCTCTATTCCAAACATTTTTCCAACAGCACACCCAGCACCAGCTCCTATATTTCCCTCTTCGACTAGTCGTTCCTCCTCTTTTTCTGCATTTAAACATGCTTGATAACCAGCACTTGCATCAGGGCGAATCTTTGAGTTATCACCTACAGCGAGATCAAATAAAACAGGAGGACTGTACAAGTAGAATGTGCGTGCAAACCTTTTTCTTTCATTCTCGAAGAGAAAAGATTGGTTGATGTAGCATTACACTTTTTCTCCCAAACAGAGAGTGAACAAAAATATTTTGGACTAAATATCCTTTGTAAACACTCCCTCAGCTGGTACAATAGGAATTTTAATGTTAGGAAAATTTGTTGAATAACCAATATTTTTCTCTTCGAGATATCGGACAACCCCACTGGCTGTATCCAAACCAAAAGCACTACCCCCACTGAGGACAATGGCATTTACTTTATCAACGGTATTAACGGGATTTAATAAATCAGTTTCACGTGTGCCTGGTGCCGACCCTCTTACATCAACACCAGCAACGTATCCGTCGTCATCGTCACAAAGAATTACAGTACAACCAGTTGGACGTCTTGGATCTGTATAATGACCAATTTTTATACCTTTGACGTCTACAATAGAGCCACTGGATTCTTCCAAATTTAACATGATTGACGAACCTGTGGCTAAATAGCGCATACTATTAATAGTACAATAATAAACCCTGGCAGGGTAGCATCTAAAGGTGCTAAGAGACGGAACTCCCAATACTGAGACGTCTAGTCAAGTTAAGCCGTTGTGTCCTCCTGCGGGAGTGGAGGGGGATCAAATTTAACTTAAAAACGGCGGTGTTGGGGTATAAAACTGTTTCTCCGTCTTCTTCGAAGATAGTGAGGGAGTTCCACAAAAGAAAATAGTTACGATTGGCTTATCCCAACGGATCCAAGACTAAACAAAACTGCAGGCGTCTTTCCGGAAAAACAACCTTGAAAAATGCAGTTCTACTACATCAGTGTGCTCCATCTTGATTCATTGGCATAGACAGATGCGTATAGACTTTTAATCGGCTTCTTTGTTTGTTGAACGAATTTCGGCTGATTTGTTTTTCAATTTGTTATTGTGAACGATTGAAGTATATCTGACGAAGGACTTTTTATGGGTGATTAAAAGCTTTTTTGTAGGAATTTTACTTTCTAATCCAGTAGAACACAGGAAAAGGCGACTATGACCTTCACGGTGAATTTTGACCACAAAACGGGATATACGTAGGTTTGTAGAGGAAGACTTCCTCTATCCAATGGTGTATATATTATCAAATTCTGTTGCGTACCGTGAGAGAAAATTAACGGTAACCCCTCTTTTTTTAAAAAAAAGTCACATTTGTGAGATACCGTCCAAAATGACGATAACTCTATCAGAAAATATGGTGAAAAGCTAGGATACATCTCATTCTGTGGAGAAATCATTACTCTACCAGATTGACTGTTTCAAAAGTTTATCAAGTACTGAATGAACGAGAAAAATGTTTCGAAAGTAAAAAACTAAGGTTTTTTCAGAGTAAAGTAACAAACTTTAAAAAATTCGTATCTCCTCAACGAAAGGCTTTGGGGAGTTGGAAGTGGTCTTCTTTTGTAGAGGACACGTTACTCTATAATGCACAATAGTTAACTCAAAAATAAAAAATATGTCTAAAAAAGT